ATTAAAATTATTGAAATGACCTGTTCTGAATGTAGAACATATGTTTCTAAATCAAAAACAAGTGTTTGGGGTTCCTAATGGGATCTTCTGCACTTTCTCTTTAGGAGAAGCAGTGCATTCAGAAAGTATTCAGACCCCCTTTATTTTTGTCAGTTTTGTTATGCTGCAGCCTGATTTTATAGTTATTGAAATCAGTACCCCATAACGACAAAGTGAAAACAGAATTTTAGAAATGTCTGTAAATTTATTAAAAATAAAAAACTGAAATATCACATTGGCATAAGTATTCAGACCCTTCACTCAAGTATTTTGTTGAAGCAATTACAGCCTCCAGTATTTTGGGGTATGATGTTACAAGCTTTGCACATCTGGATTGGGGAATTTTCTGCCAGATCCCCCATTGGCCCCATGGTTGCCCAGCCCCAGCAGAGATGGGGGTAAGGCAAACAATCCTGGCTGGGACTGGGTGGCCATGGTGCCAATGAGGATACAGCTTTCCCCGCTTGGAGTAGCCTTTTGCTTGCTAGGCATGCTCTACCACCTCTCGAGCTGGCCGCTTCATCTCCTTTGTGTTGGGCGGGCCTGCTGCTCTGGGCAGCAGCAGCAGCCAAATGGACCTGCACGAGCTACTGGCGGTGGCGGCCTGAGGCGGGGCCAAGGTGCATCGGGTGTGCAAGGGGAACAGGCTCCACATGGGGACCAAGAGCAAGATATGCTGCCACCACCATGCTTCACTGTTGGGATGATGTTGGGCAGGCGATGAGCAGTGCCTAGTTTCCTCCAGACATAGCATTTAGAATTGGGACCAAACAGTTCAATCTTGGTTTCATCAGAATCTTGTTCCTCACAGTCTGAGAGTCCTTCAGATGCTTTTTTGCAAACTTCAAACAGGCTTTCATGTATTTTGCACAGAGGAGAGGCTTATGCCTAGTCACTCTGCCATAAAGCCCAGATTGGTGGAGTGCTGCAGTGATGATTGTCCTTCTGGAACTCTGTCCCATCTCTACACAGGATTTCTGGAGCTCAGTCAGAGTGACCATCGGGTTCTTGGTCACTTCTCTTACTAAGGCCCTTCTCCTCCGATTGCTCAGTTTGGGTAACCAGCTTTTGGAAGAGTCCTGGTTGTGCCAAACTTCTTCTATTTGAGAATTATGGAGGCTACTGTGCTCGTAGGAACCTTCCGTACAGCAGAAATTTTACTGTACCCTTCCCAAGATCTGTGCCTTGCAATAATCCTGTCTCTGAGCTCTGCAGGCAGTTCTTTTGACCACATGGTTTTTGCTCTACTACAGTATGCATTGTGAGCTGTGAGGGCTTCTATAGAGAGGTGTATGCCTTTCCAAGTCATGTCCAATCAATTTAATTTATAACAGGTCAACTCCAATCAAGGAATAGAAACATCTCAGCAATAATCAAGAGAAATAGGAGGCACCAGAGCTAAATTTCAAGTGTTGTTGCATACGGTCTGCATACTTATACCACTGTGATATTTCAGTTTTTCAGTTTAATAATTTTACAGCTATTTCTAAAATTCTGTTTTCACTTTGTCATTATGGGGTACTGAGTTAGATTAATGAGAAAAAAAATGAATTTCAACAACTGTACAGTCAGGCTGCAGCATAACAAAATTGAAAAAGGGGGTCTGAATACTTTCTGAGTGCACTGTATCAATGTAACTGTAAGAGAGCCAATTCAGTTTGTATTCATTATACTTAGATTCATTACTTAGATTCATTATATGAATTTCTAAGATGATTTATCTTAAACCCATTATGTTTCTCTTTATAGTATGTGATGATGTGTCTAATACTTAGTTTTTAATAATTACTTATAAATTAAGATAAAAAATCATTGCAATCTATAAGGCAATAAGCAACAGAATTTGGAAACAATTTGAGTTTCACACAGTCATCTTAAATGCAGTTATTTTACCAAAACCAACATACACTATTCCTCAGTTAACAACTACAATTCTAGTGCAGGTGTTACCTAGTCAGGTAACAAAAGCAAAAACCAAGCTCAGGTAGCACCAAGGACCTTGCAATTGGGACTTGCAATTCTGTCACTAAGTGACACCTGACTGTGCCAGACTTCTAATATCAGTTTCACTGAGATCATTAAGCAAGTCACCCATGTGTTCATTAAATGCAACATCATGTGACTGCAACTTGGAACTTATTTCTATCTTCTCCACTGAGAAGCTGGCCGTGAAGCCTTGCAAAAGGTGATCATGTGACCTCAGGATGTTATAACCATTGTAAATGCATGTCAGTTACAAATCACCCAAATCATGATTCCATGACTGTAGAGATGCTATGATAGTCATAAGCTTTATGGCCAATCATAAAGCTACTTTTTTAGCACCACCATAAATTCAAACAGTCACTAATTCTGATCAATTAAGCCTTTAAGTCAGTCTCCAATGTGGAATTCTGCAGAAGCACTGATCTACACCACACACGATACTAAAAATTGTGATAATTATCAGCTGTGAACTGTAGAAGTTGAATCCAGAGTATCTGAAGGATTTAAAAACTCCTCTAGATCCAGTCTGCTTATGATGGGTAGCACCTATCTGAATATGATTTAAGTGCCTGTAAACTTAGGCTGGTTTCACACAACATATTTAACTGGGTCAGTTAAATATGTAGCATATTGCATGAATGTGACCTGGAATGGGAGCAGTGGATGAAATGTAACCCACAAAGAGAAACTGTGAGTCAGACTACTCTGCTCAGTTGTTTTAAGCCAATCAAAAACCCAAACGAAGGAGCCAAGCCTCGTATGAGGAGTGCTCCAAGAGCCCAGGACAGAGGTGTAGAAAGACTGAAATACAGAACATTCATTGCTAAGACTTGACAGATGTACAGCATGATCCCCAGACATTGAGTGGGAACATATTCAACCTTCTTATTTGATGGAGATTGAAAGGACTATCACAAGGGACTGGCAGTAGATGTGAAGAAAAGACAGAAACATCTTGTTAAGAAGTTTTCTGAACACAGAAAGATAGATGGAAATAAACTGAGGGCGGGGAGGTGAAACAGAGGGCACTAGCACACCATGTTACCTTCAGTATTCATTGACCTAATTTGACATATACCATTAAAGTACTGGAAGCCCACACACACAGGCACACACACACACAAGAGGGGGAGAGAGGGAGAGAGAGAGAGAGAGAGAGAGAGAGAGAGAGAGAGAGAGAGAGAGAGAGAGAGAGAGAGAGAGAGAGAGGGAGCAGACTTGGAGAACAGTTTTAGAAAAATTTAAAAAGCAAAACCCAGTTGCCTCATTTCTTCCAGAAAGTATGTTTGAATGCAGCCACAAAAAACAAAGGCAGCAACTTTGATACCAAATGGCCACAGTTTGCACAACTCTTGCAAAATGCCAGGAGAAAACCTTGAATTTTATTCTCCATCAAAAGGAAGCTCTGAAACTTTCCTTTGCAACAAATGTAATTTTATCCTGAAATAACCATATGCTTGTCTTCCCTTAAAGAGCAAGGGTTTTTGTAACAAGTGCTGAAATTCTTCACAATGGAGAAATATCCCTCCCCCCACATACACACAGAGTCACCAGGTTGCCTTTTGATTTCTTTGACCTTCAATTTTGTCACATTCGTAAAAGGCAAAGAGAGAGGAGAACAAAGAAAAAAATAAACTAACTTTGATTCACACACAGAAAGAAGAGCCACTGGGCAACTGATCTGTTTCTAATTTTAAAAATATATTTATAATATTTATTTTTGAAATTAGTAACATCCAAAGCTATAATGATTAAATAGCAAAAAAGACCATTCCTTTAATAAAGTGACTAAATCTTCAGCAGATATTCATTTAGTTAACTTTTGAACTTGTCTAATTTTGCTTTTTCAAACCAACAAATGGATGATCAACATTTGGAGTTCTCTAACTCTGCAAAACAATTTGCCAACAATTAGAAGTATGTTTCAGAAATATGAATATATTGCACACATTTATAAAAATGCATAATAATTTGTTAAATCTGTGTCAGGTAGATTGCAAACAAACTTGCATATTTTTTAAATATATACTATATACTAAGATTGTATAAATGATATATAGACCTTTTGATAATCTGAGTTGAGTCCTAAAAATGAGAAACAGTGGAAAACATATTCGGGGAAAAAAATAGGTTGAAGGAAACTGGCAAATTCCTCTACTTCTAAAGAACTATCCTCTCAATCTGCCCTACTAACTTCAGATCTCTTTGATGAGCAGAAGGGGGGAGGAACCCATTGAGGGAATTGTGTTTAAGAATGAGGTATGAATACAGAAGTAAGGAAATGTAACAAGGAAAGAAAGATGGTTGAAAGGATAAGATATAAATAAAATATACAATGACATTAAATTGCAAAGCCCTAGTACCACCGAACATCTATGATTTTTTTTCCCCAGATGAAATTGCTTTTATTTATTAGGAGATGCAAGTTATTCTTGCATCATACAAACGTATTCGGCTTTCATCCCAAAGAAGTAACCACACATCTTTTACAATAGAGATCACAGAAGCCCTCAGTAAATTCTGACCACCTGCTGTGACAGATTAAACCTGGAATCCTTTGCACACCATATGCTCTGCCCTTGAGTTATGATCTTCCTTCCTATTTTTAGTAACAAAGTTGCAATGTATTTTGTAAACTAATGCTTTTTGCATTAATACATGGGATCTCCCCTGACATTTTTGTAATTACCTGATGCTGTGAATTAACATTATTCCCCTTCCCACTCTGAGATTAATATCCAAATTATACATACTTTACTATTCCATTTGCCAAGAAAGGCATTACTATATCTGGTTGAAAAAAATGAAAAGTTTCATCAAGAAAGTTTTTCCCATCATTTATTATATTGTTTTTCCATGAGCTAAAGAAAGTTCTAAAGTGTTAAGACTGATATTGTATCATTTTATCAATTATATTGCTTTCCTTTTTCCCTAATATCTCTTAGTAAAATATACAGCACTGATTTAATGCCATTGCTTATAAAGCTGGGTCATATTATTTAATTCTTCTGGTTTTGATCTTCTAGCTATAGACTTATTTTCCTCTACTTTAATTCCAGATTAATTCCACCCAGTCCCAAGGGATTGGAATGAGATGCAGTTTGCAGATGTTCTTGCTGGTTGACATATGCATCATTTCCTTGTGATGTGAGTATGCATAGATCCAGGGCAAATTGTCACACTGAGGAAGGTAAATCACACCACTGCAGATGCATCACAAAACAACAGCTAGACAACTACTCATCCATGCCATGCTACGTATATGCAATTCAAAGAATCAGAGTCAGAACTAGAGATTGAATTACCCTTAGGATAGATGTAGTGAGAAACCATTCTTCTTCTTTTGGGCTGTTGCAGTTGCTTATGCTTTCCAAAAAAAAGTCTAGTTACTTTGCTAATATACTCAGCGTGTGGGTTAGCTTGACATTTTAAGGGCAGGGAGATTTTGTGTATAAGAGGAAGCTCTCCATTTCTGGGGTGACAAGATCTCTAGGAACAAATAGTTTCCTTCTTACAGACTTCTGTCCAAATGTTTGAATAAACATCATGAGCCAATGCACAGTGTGGGACAAGGTTTTATGTCTGGCAGTACTTTGGCAGTACTTTCGGAGTTGGGGTGGAGGGGGTTGTCAAGTTTACACTGATACAGAAATTCAGGAATAAATATTTATTTATAAAATTTATTGGCCACCTTTCTTACCATAAGATAACTCTGGGTGGCTTACAGATATAAAAAATGTATTGTGTGAAGTCACACACACCCCCAGAGAAGGAAATATTAGGGGCAGGAAAAAATATATTTCCTCAGGATCTTGAAGAGGCAGGAAAGCATGCCCAGTTTTCTTAATAGCCCCAAGTCTGCCTCCCCCAAGCAGAAACCAGCTCTATAGAAATGCAGATGCAGACCATTCAGGAAAGTTGGAGCTAGAAGATTAAGAAGACAGACTTAAAATCTGCTTACCTCACCCAAACTCTAAGAATCATTACCCCAGACCCAGGGAAACATAATAGGATTAAACCACAGATACCAAGGGCCAGAAAAGCACACTCAGACTCAGTTCAAAGTTCATGCCACAGGAACAGGAAACAACTCAAAACAAAAGGCTTCAGAGGGCATAAAAACCCCACTCCCTACATGTGTTCCCTCTCTTTTCTGCCAGAGCCATCTTCATGTCTGGCTCTCCTTGCCAATAAACTACAACCTTCTTCCCAAAGCAGTTGCCATATTTATTCCCAGCTTAATAATAATAATAATAGTAAAGTTGGAAGGGACCTTGGAGGTCATCAAGTCCAGCCGGTATAACCCTATACAGTTTCAGACAAATGGCTGTCCAGTTTCTTCTTAAAAACTTCCAGTGTTGGTGCATTCACCGCTTCTGGAGGCAGGTTGTTCCACTGGTTAATTGTTCTAACTGTCAGGAAGTTTCTCCTTAGTTCTAGATTGCTTCTCTCCTTGATTAGTTTCCACCCGTTGCGTCTTGTCCTGCCTTCAGGCGCTTTTGAAAATAGCTTGACTCCCTCTTCTTTATAGCAGTCCCTGAGATATTGGAACACTGCTATCATGTCCCCCCGTCATCCTTCTCTTTGTTAAACTAGATATACCCAATTCCAGCAACCGTTCCTTATATGTTTTAGCCTCCAGTCCCCTAATCATCTTTGTTGCTCTTCTCTGTACTCTTTCTAGAGTCTCAACATCTTTTTTATATCATGGTGACCAAAACTGGATGCAGTATTCCAAGTGTGGCCTTACAAAGGCATTGTAAAGTGGTATTAATACTTCATGTGATCTTGATTCTATCTCTCTGTTAATTCAGCCTAGCACTGTGTTGGCTTTTTTGGCAGCTGCGCACACTACTGGCTCATATTTAAATGATTGTCCACTAGGACTCCGAGATCCCTCTCACAATTACTACTATTGAACAAGATACCCCCTATACTATACCTGTACATTTGGTTTTTCTTGCCTAAATGAACCAGGATGAAGACTTTTCTTCCAACAATTTGGCATGCCAGAATGGGATTCCAAGGTAACCTCTCCAATGGATTGAGACTGGTAAGCCCCATCTTGCCGGCAGCAGAACCCCTTGTGTCTATGGATGGATTTCCCAGGCCCTGCCCATGTGGAGCCAGGGTAGTAAAGGGAGTTTTGAGTTTGAGCTCAAGGGCTGCTTTGGAAAGAAGGTGAAGGTGAGTACCTCTAAATTTTAACTTTAAAGCCCAAGGGAACAAAGGAAATGTGTGTATGTCTGTGTGTGTGAGTGAGAAGACCCTTTTTTCCCAATCACACTTGGATTTTGCTCCCTCTGATCTTTCCTAGCTGCAGATATGAATAAATGAAAACCAAAGATTAAAATCAAAGTTATGTGTGGAGAGCGGGGGCAAAATGGGGAGAGGTGAGATCTGTTGTTACTTGATCAACCACTTCCACTGTACTATTTCCCCATTGGGGCCCGAGGCTAGCTGGCAGAGCCAAGTCTTTAGGCTCTTATCAAAGACTTGGGAGATTTAAAAAGGTCTGGGATATTTTTGGAGGAATTAGGCATTGAGATTAAACTGAGAAATGCTGCTACATTGTCAGGATAGGTCAATCTAGGTAGTTCCCTACTGATGAAATGAAGTGCCATCTACCCATCTTTAAACTGCAAGAAACTGCATCAGCATGAAATTGATTATTCCTACTGCTGATCCTTGCTTTTCTTCTCCTCTATTTGAATAAATAACATATGATGAGCAAAAAATTGTTTGATTCCCTTGGCCTTTTAACACTTCCTCCTTCACCTATCACCAGCTAATGGGAGGGAAAAAAAGATCTATCCATTGTGATACTGGAATATAAATGGGGCATATCTGATTGTAGGCCTTTGTTCACCCCCTCTATTCTCTCTTCTGAGTCTGTCCTCCTATTCCACCTTCTTTCATAACTCAACCTGAATAAGTTAAAGAGGTTGAAGTCTCAAATGGAGCCAAATCATTTGCGAGACTATTGGAGATGGGCTAGTCCTGTTATTTCAGAGTTACATAAGTTCAGCCTATTATGCCATTTTGGCCTATTGCATTTTTTTTACTGTTATACCATTTCAGCGTTATTTTATTTCAGAGTTACATTATCTGAACATTACAAGGAAATTTTAACTTGATTAGTTACCATTTAATCACTTTTGGATGTAAGAGAAAAAAATTGCATCTGGATTTAAACCTAAAATAATAGTCCAAACCCAAAATAGTTTGAACAAAATGATGTGATTGAAACAATTTGGTATTTAATAGCAGTGAAAGAATGAATCTTTCCCCACTCCCAAATGAGCTACTGTACTAAATTGAGGTGTTACTGGACTGTTTTTATGAACTTCATTATTTTTTTTCTTTACAAAATTTCTTTATTAAAAGCAAAACCGGGTAAATTTATATATTTTACAATGTAAAATAGCATATTAATAATGAATCAAAGAAGGAATAGCTTGTCTCTGAGTACAATAATAACAGGTTCTCAGGCACCACCCATTACCAAGTGATACTTGATTTTTACATGGAGATTTCTTATCCAGCCTCAAACAGTTGGAGTTTCTCATTAAGTACTACATTTTCTTCTGGCAAACCTATCTGTTGCAAACCTAGAAACAACAGAGTAATGGAAGATGATGCAGCCTAGGAAAGATGAGCTGGACTGGATTTCCTTACTAGGCAGCCAAAGGGAGACATCCATCATCATTACTGCCTGGGACTCCCAACATCTAATTGCTTCAGTAAATTAGAATATCTCAGGCTATCTGCATCTAAGTGCTTGGTCTACAGCATGGCTGCTCTTGGGGGGAGAAGTTAATTTAGCACTGGAGACCATCCCATTCATTAAAAATCAGACTTTGTAAAATTAAGTGTCTCTCTCTAGCATGAGACAATGGGAAGTATGATAAAGCTAATTAATATCACATAAATTCACCCGTTAGGTACTCTAGAGTTGATTTCAACATATCTGGAAGGAGATCTAGCAGATGACATCTTCCCATTTCAAGGTAATACAAAATATGGAATATTCATATTTCAATTTCAAAATTGTGTCTTCTAGGAAATAATAATAATTTTGAGTAATTCAACCGCAAGCAACTCCACCTCTTCTTCTTAGCATTGCTGTATTTGTATTTGATACTACATGTTCTTAAATTTAAATGGGAATGATTGACACATGTTGTAATCAGCTCTAATAGTATTCATATATCAGACAGTTCAATTCCTTTTATTGAGGAGCTACAGTTAAGAATTGCACTGAAAAGGCAAAAATCTAGATCCATTTCAGTCAGATTTCATGCTGGGATTTTGTACCAGGACAGTTGATATTGCACATGTATTTGATTTGTGGCAGAGCCAGGATTGAGGTGTGTTTCCATCCTTGTGCTCCTTGATCTTTCAGTTTTTTTCCAATACCATTGACCACAGTATCCTTCTGAGATGGCTCCACGGGCTGCGGATAGGAGCATCATTTTATCTTGGTTCTCTTAGAGTTGGTTGGAAGGGTTGTTGTTCCCTATGACTCTCCTTTGTGGGGGGAAACTAGATTCTACTCTCTCTGCCCTCCTCTTCAACATCTCCATGAAATAGCTGGTGAGGTCATAAGACAGTGTAGAGTTCTGCATCATTAATATACTGATGATACCAACTATATATTTCAACCATAAATTTGCCAAGTGAAGCTGTTGAGGTTCTAGTCCTAGTGTCTGGAGGTTGTGTGGAAAGGTACCTTCCCCAACTCAACCCTATTGCATATGGTAGGTGTTTGGGCCACCCAAACCTGGGATGTTCCATCTTTAACCTTTAATGGGTTAGCACTTCTCCATTCAAGACTGATGCACCATCTGAGGGTCTTTCTGGACTCACAGCTCCTGCTCAAAGAGGTGGCAGCTGAAGCCAGGAATTCCTTTCTACTCCATCTGATCCACTAATTATGCCTTTTCATAGTTGGGAGAACCTTCAGATAGTCATTTATGGCTTGTGCTATTATGCTCTACATAGGGTTATCTTTGAAAACTGCCCAGAAAGTTCAACTGGGTCCAAAATGCGATAGCACAAGCAGCGATGGGCATCTTTGATATGCCCATATAAAATCTGTTTTGTGACATGCACTAGTTGCCAGTTTGCTTCTAAGTGCAATTGAAAGTGCTGGTCATTACTTGTAAAGTCCTAGCATACAGCCTGGCTATTTGAGAAATCACCTATCTCCCAAAATATCTGCTCAGCCTATTTGATCTACCGTAACAGAATGGAGGCACTCCTGGTTCCTCTGATTAAACAATATTGGGACCCTGGAAGTTTTGTCACAATGCCTGCCATTTAGAATGAAGGTCCCCTCAAGATATGAGGGGGCCCTCCCTGCTATCATTTTAGAGGGTCCTGAAGACCTAGTTCTTCGCTTAGGCCTTGGTTGGGATGGATATAACTTCTATGGGTTTATTGCTGCCCAAGTCTTTGTTCTTCACCATCTTTGGTTCCTTGTTTTTATTACTGTATTATTTGGATCAGGAATCTATGTTTTATTTGTAAATCACCCAGAAAGTTGGAAGTTGAGCAGTGTACAAATTTAATAAATAAATAAGCAAGCAAGGAGGCAAGCAAGCTCCTTCATTCTTTTCTCTTTTCCTCTATTTAATGGAACTGATGGACAGTTTGGGATGAAATACTTCTACTGCAGGTGACTAGAAACAGTGAAAGACTATCACTGGACTCCCCCCACCACCATTCCCCCCAATTCCTTAGCCCAGGGCTTTTCAACCTTTTCAGAGATTGCACCACTTTTAGGATATGGCAATATTCGAGTACTACCAGTCACTTAGCAGGTGGGTGTGGCCTGCTTGACACAACTCACTGGACACAGCTGACTCGAGACAGCTGGGTCAGAATGGAACAAGTCACACTGCCACATAAACTTCTCGCCTCCCCAAACTGCTACCAGAAAGCACATGCGTGCACACACACACATGCACACACACCGCATTCTAGATTTGGGGACTTTTATCCACAGAGGAAGGAGAGGGCCTTCTCCCCAAGCCCAGGCATGATTGGCAATTTGCTAGCTCAGATGTGGATACAAGTCTCCAAGCTTGGAATGTTTGTTTGTGTGTGTGTGTGTGTGTGTGTGTGTGTGTGTGTTTGTGTGGATAGCATGCTAAAGAGATGTTCTTTTCCAATCTCAGACATCCTTGGTGTTTCTCTCTCCGGTGCCCCCTCCTGGCAAAGCAGGAGGTGGAGGATGTTTGCAGGAACCATTTTCCTCCAAGTCCAATGTCTATCTTGACAGATTTCTGGAGAGTAAGAGGAGGCGGCAGGGTAGCAGAGCTCCTGGGTCCTGCACAAGGGAGGCTGTCCCTTCTTGAAAGGGAATTCCCATTTGCAATTGTGTGTGGTAAGGATGCTGGCTTGTTGGGACAGCTTCCCTCACACAGCTCCCCTGCCATCCCCTCCTCCTCTCCAGAGATCTGCAGGGGAGACAGAGATCTGGACGGCAAGGTGCAACCTCCATATTGGCCACTTTTACCTCTCCAAGCCCTCCTCAATTAAACATACATTATATATAAATTAAAACACAGGCAAAAATAAAACATAGTTAAATCACTAATTACAGCTCTTCACATATTTTCTGAGTAAACCACCTTTATTGATGTTGGGAAGGAAGAGCAAACTTTATTAAGGAACTCTTAATAGGAAAGGAATTGAAGACTCCAAAGGGTCTTGTTCTTTCTAATCTGCTTCCCTTTGAAGCTTCTCATTATTTTATTATTATGCATTTAAGAAGAAGATCAAAGGCCTCCATACCTCAGGATACTCACCTTAAAATCAGAACCCAGAAAAATTTAGTTAATCCACAATACCCCCTATGAAGAATGAAGAAAATCTTGGGCCCTGAGAGCATGTAGGTGTCCGTCAGAATATTAGTGGCACACCTGTCAGCAACTGGAAGTGCATAAGTCCATGTACTTCCCTTCCCTGTCTCACAACTCAATCCGTACATCCTTTAATTTTCAGGCAATTTTTTTTCTCATAAGCTCCTTTAAAAAACCACAAGGTATAGTGTAATTAGCAGGAAAAATAAATCTAGCACTCCTGAAATCTTTCCCCAGGGGGAAAGGAAAGTTCACAGCCTGCAGATTGCTAGCAAAGTTGTCAAACAACATAGTTATTGCTGCTAAAGGCAAGAATAAATAACAAATCAATTTTGCAGCTCTCTCCTGTTACTACATCCTCTTACCTCCAGAATGTGGCCTGGGATTGCACAAGGGGCTAGGCTAAAATCCGGTTGAATAGTTTGCAGTCAGGTGTTCAGTACAGACCTTGCCAATGTGATTTTAATAGCCCAGGAAGGAATAGGAAAACCAGAGGAAAACTTTGCAATCAATAAACCATGGTGGACTACGCTTGTTTTACCCTGTTTTGATTCTCCTCCCCAGCAGCAGCTCATCGATTTCAGAACGCATGGCCACAAAGATAGGCCTTCAGCCTCCCAATCCCTGCTTAGAGAGAGATTTGATTTCAGCCAGGGTCAGGCCATATGCCCCCAGTCAAAGGAAAACCCCAAATCCAGCAGGCCAGAAGGCAGGCCAGCCACCGCGCCCATTTCCTTCTTGCCTCCTGGGCACAGATGCAGTCGTTGTTCCTCGCCATAGCTGGGGTGGGACTTGCAAGTACTTCCATCCTGCAAAGCGGTGCTCCCCTGGCACTCCCACCCACTGCTACGCTGGTGGCCCCGACTAAAGACCGAATGCTGCAGCCTCGCCCAGCCAAGGAAGGGAGCAGCAGCTGAGACTACAGCAGATCTGCAGCTTGTCAGGGGCACTCAGAGGCTGTCCAACTTTACTCTGCAATTTTGGGGTTGGAAAGTGAAGGGGCCGCGCTGTATTTGCAAGCCTGGCGGCACCTGTTGCAAAACCTCCTGCTCCCCCTCCCGCAACTACCTCCTTCAGAGCCATCCTGATGCCAATGGGCCTGCCAGCATAGATTTGCCTGCTTCGTCCTGCAAAGCGCGACTTACCTGGTGCTCCCATCTGCCGCCATACCAGCAGGCCCATCGGCATCAGGATGGCTCTGAAGGAGGTAGCTGTGGGGGCAGGGAAGCAGGAGGCTTTCCAGCAGGTGATGCCAAGCCTGCAAATGCGGCGCTGCCCCTCCACTTTCCAACCCCGAAATTGCAGAGTAAAGTTGGGCAGCCTTTGAGCGCTGCTGACAAGCTGCTGTAGTCTCAGCTGCCCCCACTTCCTTGGCAGGGCAAGGCTGGGGCGCACGGCCTTTAGTTAGGGCTGCCGGCATGACGGTGGATAGGAATGCCGGGGGAGCGCCGCTTTGCAGGATGGAGGTATTTGCAAGTCCCACCCCAGCTATGGCGAGGAATTGTAATTGCATCTGTGCCCAGGGGGTGAGAAGGAAATGGAAGGGCACGGTAGTGGGCTACCTTCTGGCCCTCTAGATTCGGGGTTTTCCTTTGATTATGGGCTTGGGTGAGCTGGCCCCTCACTGTCTCCAGGGCAGCCCCAGGTCAAATGTACACACCCCACGGGCATGTCTATAACCTCCTCTTCCTTTTGTCTGCAACTGATTCCTTTCTCCAGGCTGTGCACAGTTTCTGGAAGCGCCAGTCAGCTGGAGCCCGGTGTGGATCCTGGGTGCTGGCTCTCCCACAGGCCTGTGCTGTGTTGCTGCCACTTCAGCTCATCCCCACACTACATTTTTACATTTTTTACATGTTTTTTTAACAGAGCTTTTCAGCCCATCATAAGCATACCACGTGCCAATGTACCACCAATGGTATGCATACCACCGCTTGAAAAGCCCTGCCTTAGGCTATCTCAACTTATCTTTCCCTGGTCCCATCAGTGTATAGCAAGGTTTGTGTGTGGCTGTGTGTCAGAAAGAGGGAGGGAGACTCTTTGCTTATGTCCATCAATCTGTAATATATTTTTAAATAAATCAATTATAAGAATGCCATGTTGCAAATTTTCACCACTAATGGAAATGAGCCTGACTTGCTTTATACTCCATTATATAAAATTCATCATTCCCAAAGTCGCAGATTATGAACTTGGCATCCTGAAAAATAAAGAATGATCTAACAGAAGCAGAAGCTTTCTTGAAATTAAATATTGACACTGTTAATACAACAGTATGTCATTTTGGATTATATGATTTCATTTTGTAAGTATTTCTTCTTGCCTCTCAGCCCACAATGTGCCAAATATAGAATCTGGCAGCATAGAAAGCAGGAAGCTTTTATAATGAAAGTTTAGAAAGCACATACCTATGATCTTGGAAAGTAGGTGGAAGAAAGATTTATACCAAGTTTCTTTAAATAGGCTTGCATAAACACTGCTTAATAACATTGATACCTCTAACACCATCAAAAATATGTATCTCTCTATCCCAGGTTCTTGGGAAGGATAGGTGAATAAATGTCAAACCCAGTCTAAACATCCAACTATGCGATGAACCATC